GGGGTGAAATCAATCAATTAGAAACAAATAAAACTATTCAAAGAATCAATGAAACAAAAAGCTGGTTCTTTGAGAAAATCAACAAGATAGACAAACCCTTAGCCAAACTAACTAAAAAGCAGAGAGAAACCATACAAATCAGCAAAATCAGAGATGAAAAGGGTGACATAACTACAGACACAGAGGAAATTCAAACAATCATTAGGTCATACTACAAAAGCCTATATGCCACAAAATTTGAAAATCTAAATGAAATGGAAAATTTTCTTGATAGATTCCATCTTCCAACATTAAGTCAAGATCAGGTAGAAAGACTGAACAGCCCAATATCCCCCAAGGAAATTGAAGCAGTCATTCAGTCTCCCCTCCAAAAAAAGCCCTGGGCCAGATGGTTTCAGCGTGGAATTCTACCAGACCTTCAAAGAAGTGCTCACACCAATTCTCCTCAAACTATTCCGCAAAATAGAAACAGAAGGTACATTACCAAACTCATTCTATGAAGCAACAGTCACCCTGATACCTAAACCACACAAAGACCCAACAAAAAAAGAGAACTTCAGACCTATCTCTCTTATGAACATTGATGCAAAAATACTCAATAAAATACTTGCAAACCGAATCCAAGAACACATCAAAGATATCATCCACCACGACCAAGTAGGCTTCATCCCAGGCATGCAAAGGTGGTTCAACATACGGAAATCCATCAATGTAATCCACCACATAAACAAACCGAAGGAGAAAAACCACATGATCATCTCCTTAGATGCTGAAAAAGCATTTGACAAAGTCCAACACCCATTCATGTTTAAAGTCTTGGAGAGATCAGGAATACAAGGCACATACCTAAACATAGTAAAGGCAATATACAGCAAGCCTATAGCCATCATCAAACTCAATGGAGAGAAGCTTAAATCAATCCCACTGAAATCAGGGACAAGACAAGGCTGCCCACTCTCTCCCTACCTCTTCAACATAGTACTTGAAGTCCTAGCCAGAGCAATAAGACAACTAAAGGAGATCAAGGGGATACAAATCAGAAAGGAAGAGGTCAAAGTGTCACTATTTGCAGATGATATGATAGTATATATGAGCGACCCCAAGAATTCAACCAGAGAACTCCTCCAGTTGATAAATACCTTCAGCAAAGTGGCAGGATACAAAATCAACTCAAAAAAATCAGAAGCCCTCCTGTATACCAAAGACAAAAGGGCTGAGAAAGAAATTAGGGAAACAACACCCTTCACAATAGCCAATAACCACACAAAGTACCTTGGGGTGACACTAACCAAGCAAGTGAAAGACCTGTTTGAGAAAAACTTCAAGTCTCTGAAGAAAGAAATTGAAGAAGATCTCAGAAGATGGAAAGATCTCCCGTGCTCATGGATTGGTAGGATTAACATTGTGAAAATGGCCATCCTGCCAAAAACAATCTACAGATTCAGTGCAATTCCCATGAAAATACCAACTCAATTCTTGACAGACCTTGAAAAAAAGATTCTCAGCTTCATATGGAGAAACAAAAATCCCAGAATCTCCAAAACAATATTGTACAACAACAGATCATCTGGAGGTATCTCCATCCCCAATCTCAAGTTGTACTACAGAGCAATAGTAATAAAAACTGCATGGTATTGGCATAAAAACAGAAAGGAGGATCAATGGAACTGCATAGAAGACCCAGAAATAAACCGACACACCTATGAATACTCCATTTTTGACAAAGAAGCCAAAACCATTCAATGGAAAAAAGACAGCATCTTCAACAAATGGTGCTGGTCCAACTGGATGTCCACATGCAGAAAAATGAAAATAGATCTCTATTTATCACCCTGCACAAAACTAAAGTCCAAGTGGATCAAAGACCTCAACATAAAACCAGATACTCTAAATCTCTTAGAAGAAAAAGTGGGGAACAGCCTAGAACTCATTGGCACAGGAGACAACTTCCTGAACAGAACACCAACAGCACAGGCTCTAAGAGCAACAATCAATAAATGGGACCTCATGAAACTGAAAAGCTTCTGTAAAGCAAAGGAGACTGTCATCAAAACAAAACGCCTGCCTACAGATTGGGAAAGAATCTTCACTAACCCTTTATCTGACAGAGGACTAATATCGAGTATATACAAAGAACTAAAGAAGCTGAAAAGCAGCAAACCAAGTAATCCAATTAAAAAATGGGGAACAGAGCTAAACAGAGAATTCTTGACAGAGGAATATCGAATGGCAGAGAAACACTTAAAGAAATGCTCATCCTCATTAGCCATCAGGGAAATGCAAATCAAAATGACCCTGAGATATCACCTTACACCCATCAGAATGGCCAAAATGAAAAACTCAAGGGACAACACATGCTGGAGAGGTTGTGGAGAAAGGGGAACCCTCTTCCACTGCTGGTGGGAATGTAAACTGATACAACCACTCTGGAAATCTATCTGGCGCTTTCTAAGACAATTAGGAATAGTGCTTCCTCAAGACCCAGCTATACCACTGCTAGGTATATACCCAAAGTTTGCTCAAGTACACAAAAGGGATATTTGCTCAACCATGTTTATAGCTGCTTTATTTGTAATAGCCAGAACCTGGAAACAACCCAGATGTCCATCAACGGAGGAATGGGTACAGAAATTGTGGTATTTTTACACAATGGAATACTACTCAGCAATCAAAAAGGAGGAAATCATGAAATTTGCAGGCAAATGGTGGGATCTAGAAAAGATCATCCTGAGTGAAATATCCCAGAAGGAGAAAGAAAAACACGGTATATACTCACTTATATAGACCTATAAGATATGATAAACATAATGAAATCTATACACCTAAAAAAGATAATCAAGAGAGCGGACATGGGGTATGATTATCAATCCTCGTTTTGAAAGACATATGGGATGCACATTAAACATTAACCGGAGTCTACTGAGCGCATTTGAAAAACTCTAACTAGCAGTGTTTTCAAAGCAAAGACTCATGACCAAACCTTTGGCAGAGTACAGGGAATCATAAGAAAGAAGGGGAGTTAGTATGATGAGGAAAGGATAGGAGTTCCACAAGGACCAAACATATCTGGGCACAGGGTCTTTTCTGAGACTGACATGCAACCAAGGACCATGTATGAATGTAACCTAGAACCTCTGCTCAGATGTAGCCTGTGGTAACTCAGTAACCAATTGGTTTCCCATAGTGAGAGGAACAAGGACTATTTCTAACAGGAACTCAATGACTGGCTCTTTGGCCTCCCCACCCCCCAAGGGAGGAGCAGTCCTGTTAGGCCACAGAGGAGAGCTTTGCAGCCAGTCCTGAAGATACCTGATAAAACAGGATCGGATGAATGGGGAGGAGGTTCCCCCTATCAGTGGACTTGGCAAGGGGCACGGTGGAGATGAGGGAGGGAGGGAGGGGACTGGGAGGGAATGAGGGATCGGGACATGGCTGGCATACAGAGTTAATAAAATGTAACTGATAAGAAAAAAATAAAATAAAAAAAAGAACATTAGGAAACTAAATTCCTATAACTAAATTCCAGGTTCTCTACCTACTTATTTATCAGTCTAATCTATATTACAAGTAATGCATCCTCTGCCCTTCAGTGTCTTGGCTGCCAAATGGAGGCATTACTATTTTACTAGTCAATTTAATAAATGCACAGTGTAACCCATAAAAAAAAGCAATATTAATAATGAACTCAGGAAAATATGTAAATATATATGTATGTGAGTGTGCAGCACAGAGAGGGATAGAAATTATGTAAATATAGTATTTAGCCAGGAAATTGAAATATTCAAATATTTTATTAAAAATAAAATCCAAAAACTAGAAATTTAGAGTACTGTATTTTAAAGATGATCTTCAAGGTTTTGTACAGAGCTTTAGATTCCATCCTGATATCCTCAAAATTATTCAGATTCTAATACATTCTGAATATTAGAGATGCATCAGGTTGAAATCTTGAAATAGAATTCTTTTTCCTAATGATATCTTGGTGTTATAAAGATGGAAACTTGAGCAACCATATAGACATGGTGCCCTGAATATGGTTTTTGCACTTTGATAACTGGCCATCAATAATGATGAAACCTTCCCTTTGTCTTGGAGGGAGCAATCTGTGACAGATATAGCTTGAAAGAATAGAATCCAGGTGAAGCTCATATTAAAAGGATCATGGAATGGTGGGGCATCTTTTAGCTATATTCTAAGGAATGGTATAGCTGGATCTTGAGGTAGTGCCCAATATTCTGAGAAAGAGCCAGATTGATTTTCAAAGTGTTTGTATAAGTTTGCACTCCCACCAGCAATAAATTGTAAAAAAAAAAATTATATTATGGATGTGCTTTGGACATATGACAGGAGTCTACTGCAGAAGGCATCTGAACGACTCTACCTAGCAGTGTATCAAAGCAGATACTAAGACTCATAACCAAACCTTCAGCAGAGTGCAGGAAATCATATGAAAGAAGGGGAGTTAGTATGATGTGGAAAGGATAGGAACTCCACAAGGACCAAATAAATCTGGGCACAGGGGTCTTTTCTGACACTGACACTCCACCAAGGACCACATATAGATATAACCTAGAACGTCTGCTCGGATGTAGCCCGTGGTAGCTCAGTAACCAATTGGTTTCCCATAGTAAGAGGAACAAGGACTATTTCTGACAGGAATTCAATGGCAGGCTCTTTGACATCCCCACCCCCAAGGGAGGAGCAGTTCTGCTAGGCCACAGAGGAAGACTTTGCAGCCAGTCCTGAAGATACCTGATAGAATAGGGTCAGATGAAAGGGGAGGAGGTCCTCCCCAATCAGTGGACTTGGAAAGGGGCAAGGAGGATATGAGAGAGGGAGTGTGGGATTGGGAGGGATTAAGGGAGCAGGATACAGCTGGGATACAGAATTAATAAAATGTAACTAATAATAAAAAAATTAATTTAAGTAAAAAAAAGAAAACGTAGACGAGCAGAATACATATATGAGGTCACTTTTAACTAATAAAAAAAATTACAATAGTGCTCGCTTCAGCAGCATATATACTAAAATTGAAATGATACAGAAAAGATTAGCATTGCCTCTGTTCAGGTAAGACATTCAAATTAGTAAAGAGTTACATATTTTTAGTATGTACTCACTTATAAGCGGATTTTAGCCATATAATATAGGATAAGCATACTATGAGGCACAGACCCTAAGAAGATAAATAACAAGAAAGATACAAGGGAGGATGTATAAATCTCATTGGAAGGGGAGACAAAATAGACAGAGTAGTGGTTGAAGAGAGGGAACAAGGTAGGAGAAAGGGTGGAGAGAGTTAAGAAGGTAGAGATCAGACCTGGGGAGAGATAGAGGGAGAGAGGACTGAAGGCCTGTAGAGAAAAGAGAAATTGAGGGTGGGGGTATCTCTGTGATAAGCTAGATACCTAAGTCAGTGTAGGCTCCTGGGAGGATATGAGGAGGATTCAAGCAAAGACTCTTAGTAGCAGAGGCCATAGAGACTGAAGAGGACTCACTCTAACTAGACTAGTCTTCTAGTAGAAGGAAGGGAACACCAACCCATCCACAGAAACTTCAACCCCAAGCTTACCCTGTCTACAAGATGTGTAGGGATAAAGATATAGCAGAGATTGAGGGAAGGCAAAACCAATGTCTGGCCTAACCAAAGACCCACCCTAGGAAAGAGTGCCAGCTCCTGTCACCATGAATAATACTCTGCTAAACTTGCAGACAGGAGCCTGTCAGAGTTTTCCCCTGAGAAGATCTACCCAGCAGTGTCTCAAAACAGATTGCTGAGACTCACAGCCAAACATAGGGCTATGCTTACGGAGTCTTGAGGAATAGTGGAAGGAAAGAAAAAAGAACCTGAAGGTGACAGGAGCTCTACAAGAAGACCAACAACCAACTAACCATGGACTTGAGGGGCTTGCTGAGACTGAAGCATCAACCAAGGACCATGCATGAACTGGACTTAGGCCCCCTACAAAGATATAGCAGATGGGAAGTTTAGGCTTCAAGTGGGTTCTCTAGTAAGGGAAATGGGGATTGTACCAACATGGACCCACTTGATAGTTTTTTGATCACTTCCCCCCTGGAAGGACTTACCTTGTCAGGCCACAGGGGAGGAGAACAGGATCATTCCTGATGCAACTTGATGAGCTTGAGTGAATGGGAAAGGGAGTGCCTGCCCATTTTCTGAGGAATAGACTTTCCTTTCTTTTGAGGAATAGGTGAGGAGGAAGGGGGGTAGAGGGAAGGTAGGACTGGGAGGGGAAGAGGGATAGAACTACAACCAGGGTGTAAAGTAAATATAAAACAAATAATTTTTTTAAAAGTTTTACAATAGAAAGTATCTTTCCCTTTATTTTATACTGTTCCTTCTATCAAGGGAAATTTATCCTTGGATTGCAATGGTGATGGGATTTACTGTCTTTGACATGAACTCAGTGGCTGGCTCTTTGATCACCTCCTCCTGATCTGGGAGCAGCCTTGCCAGGACACAGAGGAAGACAATGCAGCCATTCCTGATGAGATCTGATAGACTAAGATCAGAAGGAAGGAGAGGAGGACCTCCCCTATGAGTGGACTTGGGGAGGGGCAGGGAGGAGATGAGGGAGGGAGGGTGAGATTGGGAGAGATGGGGGGTGATACAGCTGGGATACAAAGTGAATAAACCATAATTAATATAAAAAACTAAATTAAAATTTAAAAAATTCCAAAAAAAAGAAAAATAAATGTTTGTTTTCCACTTTATTGTAAGAATTGTATGAAGGTTATTAAAGTTATTAATACAAAGTTGTGGTTCTTAAGAATAATATATAAGAAACTGGAATATTCTGTTTGTCACACAGTGAATTTGGAGTGGATAGAAAATAAAATTTGTTTAACTCTAAAAAAAAAAAAAAAAGAAAGAAAAACACTAGACCTTATTTTAGCAGCCAAGCCAGTAAAAACACACGTTTCCATAACATGGTAATGAATAGCTAATTGCATCGGAATGACAAGTAAGATCTGTGTTACGTGAGTTACAATATGTTATTTTGAAATCTTACTAATTAAAATACTAACTTTTCTTGGGAAGAATGGTGACACTTAAGTGATGTCAAAGATCATAATTTCCTGTAAATATTACTAATTTAAAAATAGGCATTATTCCTCCTATAAATGCTTCTTTGGGGTTACCTTCATGCACAGGCATTTTGTCTTTGGAGTGTGGTTTATGTATGTGACTCTAAAGTGGATTTTAACAAGTTTAGAAGACAGAATGCATAAATTTGTGAGGATTTAAGCTTAATACACATGATGTCTCAGTAGCCCTATTCTCCATAATAAGATTTTAATGCCAGTGTTTAACAAACTTGGTTTGTGAGATGTCTCAGTAGAAAAGTGTTTTCTGGGTAAAGCATGAAGATAGATGCTTAACATTCACAATTAACTGGGCAAGGCAACATACTTAGGTAACCCCAGTGTTGGGGTTGGGTAGAAAATGGGGGTGGTTCTAAAAACAAGAGCTCCTGAGGCTCAATATCTAGCAATTATTGCCACAATGGAGTGCTCAGGTTCAGTGAGAAACACTGTTTCAAAAAGTTAGGTGGATAAATGACTGGAGAGGTAACCTGGTACTCACTTTTGGCTTCCAAAAATGCACTTATTTATAAATACACACATATTCACCCCCCCACACACACACAAACACAAACACACACATAGAGAGAGAGACATCACACAAAAAATTACCTTACTATACAAATGAATTTACAAGATTGTTAGGCTAACATGCTTGTAAGCAATTTCTTTTTTCCCACTTGATTTGCTTTATTTCATAAGCAAAGAAGATTTCATAATTAATCCATCAATAAGTATATTACTATTTTCTTTCTCAAGATGGTCAAGAGGATCAACATTGCTGTATTTATTACAATTTATTCACTTTTTATTCTAGCTGTAGCCTCCTCCCTTGTCCCCTCCCAATCCTGCCAAGCTTCCCTCTTCTTCTCCCACTCCCCTACCACAGTTCACTGATAGGGGAGGTCTTCCTCCCCTTCTCTCTGACCCTAACTTATCAGGTCTCATCAAAACTGGCTGCATTGTCTTCCAATTTTTACAAACCATATAACAATATCCCTCAGCTCTACAGATAAATAATCAAAACAGAAAAAAGCACCTTTGGTTAAAAATGGTCGACTTCCTCAAGAAGCTAAGCAAGAAGGAGGACCCTGGGAAAGATGACCAATCCTTACTCAGAAAGGCAAACAGGACGGACATTAGAAGAGGGATAAAACAGGGAACAGGACAGGAGCCTCCCACAGAGGTCCTGTGAAAGAACTCTAGTCAGCAGGGTATTAAAGCAGATGCTGAGACTCATAGCCAAACTTTGGGCAGAGTTCATGGAATCTTATGAAAGAAGGAGGTGATAGAAAGACCTGGAGGGGACAGGAGCTCCACAAGGAGAGCAACAGAAACAAAAATTGTGGGCACATGGGTCTTTTCTGAGACTGATACTCCAGCCAAGGATCATTCATGGAGATAACCTAGAACCCCTGCATAGATGTAGCTCATGGCAGCTCAGTCTCCCAGTCAGTGCCTTAGTAAGGGGAAGAGGGGCTGTCTCTGACATCAACTTAGTGGCTGGCTCTTTGATCACCTCCCCCTGAGGGGGGGGGGGATGGAACAACCTTGCCAGGCCACAGAGGAAGAAAATGAAGCCATTCCTGATGAAATCTGATAGGCTAGGGTCAAAGGGAAGGAGAATAGGACCTCACCTATCAGTGGACTTGGGGAGGAGCATGGGAAAACATGAGGGAAGGATGGTGGGATTGGGAAGTGACAAGGAAGGGGCTACAGCTGAGATACAAAGTGAATAATCTGTAATAAAAATAATTTAATTAAAAATAAATAAATAAAAATTGTTGATTTCTCCATAAATACAACTTTAAAACAAGTATATGCTTTTAATGAATTTCTATCCTCAATTTGCTTACTTTTGAGATTCTCCCACTTCCATCTCAATTTTCACATAGATAATTCCACGCTTTCCCCTTTCCATGTTATATGTAGGTTCCTTGACTGATCTTCTAATGGAGGAATTAATAAACACAGAATGACATGTTAACATGGTGCTAAGTTTATTATCATCATGCATATTTATGAGACATTATTGGAATGAGATTTTTATAAGTTTTCTACATCTGGTAATTCACATCACCAGCAATTAAATATTTATTGCACCACTCAAAACACTTAAGGTCAGAGTCAAGGAATTAGAAATGTTTTCTGTTCACTCTCTCTCCCCTACTACTATTATTCCCATCAAGGAAAACAAATCTTTCAAAAGAGATTAAAAATGACAGAGATTTTATTAATAAAAGGAGTTCCTGTAACTAAATGCAAAATATGCATGTGAGTAGATACATTTATTTTCTCCAACAATTGGTAAATACAGTTTGTTTGTTTTCATTTAAACTTCCTGATGTCCAGAGAGACAATGACATACTTTAAAATCAATCATTGACTTACTGTTGGACACTTATTTATTTCCACATTTGCATTTTTATAAAAATAAAACTTCAAAAATATTTTTGTAAATGATGATTTAATGTTTTATAATCTTGGACTAGAATTTTAGAATAAATTCAGATGATTTAGTTTTTTAGACAAAAGATGTGATGTTCAGGGACACATGTATTGTTTTTATTTTATTGCATATTATAATTAAAAAAGTACCCAATTATTTTGCAAAAGTAGAAATATACAGTAATTAATGAATATTAAAGTTAATTGTCAGTGGGCTTTTTGCATCCTGTATTTATTTACTCTTGCTGATGATCTTGAGCAGTGATCTAAGTGAGGGCCTGCCTGCTTGTACTTTCCACAGACTCCAGCATGTATCTCTGGCATTTTTAATCTTCAGAAGCAGAGATACCTATCTTCAGTGTTAACGTCACTTCTGAAGTCATTCCATTGACAATTGTATTAAGGGAGTTTGTTGAAAGATGAAATTTTCCATTTGCTTTCCTAGTTGGTTTTGATTAATTATAAGGTAGAATGACTAGTGTAATAAGATAACTTTATTTCTTTGAAAGAATTATTATTATATCTAGAAAGAATAATTCATCATGACATGAA